TTTTGTTCTGTTTATATTTCATTTTTATTATTCTTTATGTATTTATTGTTTTGTATTCTGGTTGTGTATGTAATTTATTGCTATGACTGTATCCCCTGTGAATGTTATATCTTCAATAAAAAAATTTAAATAAAAATAAGGAATCACTAGCAGAACCTCAAAAAAAAAAAAAATTTGTAAAAAGCCACTGCACAAAACAAATCCCAGCCGGGTCCGTCACTTTTTTGGGTCCCCATGAAACATTTCCGTTGTGGTCCGTGCTATTTGCAGCGCGTTTCTTCGTTTGCATGTGTTGTGAGGATTTGCAACGCGTGTGTTGTCAAACTGATGAAGATGTTTTCTTAATTTGCTGGTGTTTTTTCAATTTGCATGTGTTTTCTTAAGTTGCAGCGCGTTGAGCTCTCTCGGCCACCGTATAAAACTGAATATAGATCAAATATATTTACCCAAGTAACTTGAATGGAAGCCTGAAAAATGGGGGGAATTCCCCCCTTAGGTGATTAGGGGGGATTGTGTGTGGGGGAGGGTAATTTTTTGAGTTTTTTTCTCACCTAAATGTTTTCTCAGTCAATGTACTTGTTTTTACAATGCTATAATTCTGCTGCGCAATAGCTTACACAAAGCACAAGGAAGATTTAAACATAAATGTATGTAATATTTATGTAATTTACGTGAATACTCACCAAGATGGACATTTTGACATCAATCATTTAGTCCAATCTTGCTATTTAGTCCAATCTTTTGTGTGCAGGACTCAAGAAATGATCTGTGCATGTTATGGATGAATGCACAGTGCATGTAGGGTGTGTGGCCTGCAGTAAGTGTGCTGTGTGCATGTGATTGAGGAATGTGCAGGGTTGAAATTCAGCTGAAACTGCATTAAATCTGCATTCAATTTTCAACTACATTTAAGTTCCCTGTTCCTGCCATTTTGCTAATTCCCAGTTTATTCCCATTAATTCCAAGATATTCCCGTTAATTCCCATGGAATTTTTCCAGTCTTGAAAATACTCCGAATTTTGCAACCCTTAATTTGTAAATAATTTCTGCAGTGATTTGATCAGTTTTATCCATTTTCAGGACTGTTCACCATAATCGGGGTCACAGTAGGGGCAGGTAACGGTGTTCTGATGATTTTTTTCTTTAAATGAAAGCACATCAGTTGTACACAAGATAATTATTTGTATTTGTGTCCATTAGTCGGTACGGTTGCGTTGGCCCCGGTGGCGCTCACCATGGCTGGATTCACCTCTGCTGGTATAGCAGCAAGTTCTATTGCTGCCAGCATGATGTCTTCAGCAGCCATTGCCAATGGGGGCGGTGTGGCTGCAGGAAGTTTGGTTGCTCTCCTCCAATCTGCAGGTATTGTTTATTAAAAGTTAATGTGCCTATGTCCATTTTCCATTTTAAAGGAATAGTTCACCAAAAAAACATAAAAAGGTTCATCATTTTCTGAACCCCCATGTCATTCCCAAAATGTTCGAGAATGTTTTACAAATGTTGGTGATGCAAAGCTTGTTCTTCCTGGTCAGGTGCTGCTGGACTGACTGCAGGTGCGACAGCAGTCGTGGCATCTGTAGGTGGAGCAGCAGGTGCTGTAATAGGTGGAGCTGCAGATTTGCGTTCTCATTCCAAGATTGATGGAGATGGAGATGGAGATGGAGATGGAGATGGAAATGGAGATGGAGATGGAGATGGAAATGGAAATGGAGATGAAGAAGAGGAGGAGACAGATATGATAAATTTCCAGGAGACCAAAGAGCTTATGCCAAAATAAGGTCCTCTGTTAATAACTGATAACAATGTATTTGTGTGAGCACTTTGTATGTGCATGTTAATTTTATGCTTGTACAAGTAGAATGTGCATGTAATGTGACTGAAGATCACTTTTTTACTAAACAATTAAAACATTTTCAGTATGAATGCAAGAAATCGTAATTAAAATGATTTGTGTGCTTGAATACCATAATTTAATCTTTACAGCAGAATTTGGATTTGTCTTATATTTGAAGTTGGTATTACTGATTCTGTTACTTTCCTTTTTAATACTTTGAGGCTGATTTGAAACGATCTCTATTTTATAAAGCATTACAAAATAAAGGTGACTTGACTTAATTAACTGTCTAGTCATTTAAAGAAGTTTGCACCATTGTCATAATGCTGATATTTGCATCCTATTAAAAAATGAGGGATGCACTTTGTTCTTTTTTTCCTGGCTTTATGCACTTTACACATTTATTGTGTATTTCTGTGGATACAGTATGTGGCTATTTTAAACATTTACAATCCGCCATGTCATCGCCTGAAATACTGCAATCTGATCAGCAGATAACACTACCAAGTCTTTGGTAAGGCTTCTGTCAACTGTTGGTGCGTTCAAGTCATGTCGGATAGATTGTATTTAGGCAAGGCAAGGCAAGGCTTGTTTATTTATATAGCATTATATATTTAAAAAAATTAGGACTGGTGTAATATGCTCAGATTTTCTGGTTCTAGTCAGAATTCTGGCAGCAGCGTTCTGGATGAGCTGCAGCTGTCTAATGGTCTTCTTGGGAAGGCCGGTGAGGAGACCATTACAATAGTCTACCCTGCTGGTGATAAAGGCATGAACCAGTTTCTCCAAGTCTTGACTGGAAACAAAACATCTAATTCTTGCAATGTTTTTGAGATGATAGTATGCGGATTTAGTTACTGCTTTGACATGACTACTGAAACTAAGGCCTGTCTCCAGAATCACACCAAGATTCCTGACTTGATTTTTAGTTGTTTGACCCCTAAAGTCAAGGTATGCATTCACCTTGAGAACTTCATCCCATGCCATGCCATGCCATGCCATGAACAGACTTGACAACAGACTAGACTCACCAACAGCAGGTTACAACATCAATACACGACAAGAGACAATGGCAACATGATGGCTACTTATAGCAGACAAGAGGGTCACAAGACAAGAACAAACCAATGGGAAACAAGACACATGACTAAGACAACCAATCAGAACATGACACAATGAACAGAGGAACCAATGGCATGAATACATGAAGGCAAGGGAAGCATGACACTAACAGGGTGAAACAATGCAAAATAAAAGACATGAAAAACATGAACATGACACAACCCAAACACCACATTACAAACTGTTAATTTCATCAATGCATTGGCAGAGGGAGTCAATGGGGCTGTAGTCATTTGGAGATAATTTACGAGTTGAACACACATGAATGCCACCACAATGAATGCCACCACAAAGTCGTTCTTACGAGTGGGAAACTCGAAATTTTCTTTAAACTCCGAGTTGGGGGCGTGTCAGTGAGAAAACATGTGGCATGCAGCCAAAGACTAGAAATATGCAGCGGTAAATTTGTTGAAATTAATCAAATATTATATTATTGTATAATTACCATAGAATATATTATGACAGGAAAAAGCAAAAACACAATGATGCACATTTTTTATTGATCATTTTGTAAATGAGGGCTAGAGTTTTTAAAAAATCATTGAATTTTATATAAAAAAGTTCGACATCTTGTTCCGAGCAAAGTGACTTGAACACACCTGGCGTCGTACTTACGACTTGTCAACTCGTAAATACGAACGTCCCAGGAGGACTTAGTTGTCCAGTGGCTGTATTGTCTTTGTAATTCAACTAGCTACATAGAATGGTCGCTATAGGCTACGCAGCAAGCAAACAACGATGACTCAGAACACTAGGCGTGCTCGGCTTGAACTGTCTGCCCTCCTGCAACGTTCCGCTCTATTTTGCGATTTTAGTTTCGGTTTCCTTTCTTAAAAAGTATCCGCCCACTACGTTATTAAGGCAAGTTCTCACATGCTAGAGCTTCAGTGCAAAGCAAGAGCATCCTGAGTTTGAGTAAAGTCGACTTAAGATGGATCCAGGTTATATTATAACAAAACTGTAGAATTTTAAATGTTTGTTTCTCAACAACTGACAAACAGTTTACTTGTTTTTCTTTTCTTTTCCCTAGTCACGCTTATTGGAGCTGGTGTAGGAGCAGGTAAAAATGAAATACATTTCGGCGCGGTGTTATTTTGTCTAAATCAAGAAGATATCAAATGTTTTAGTTAAATATATAAATGATTTTAATTCTATTGAAATGTTCTGTATACAGTAATATGTGCCAGTGATCCACCTGAACTAACCTGCTTATATAAATATAGTCGCAACAGTTGTTGCAGCTCCAGCTATTCTTGGATTGGCTGGTTTCACCGCAGGTGGGATTGCTGCAGGTTCTTATGCCGCCTCTATGATGTCAGCTGCCGCTGTGGCTAACGGAGGAGGCATCGCAGCTGGATCCGTGGTGGCAGCTCTACAAGCCGCAGGTGAGTCACATATCAGAAAAAACGGTTAACCAGTTTAACAACAGTGATTTATGCAGGAGGCAAATGCACAAACTCTTTCAACTGACAACTGAATGTATGTCATCAGGTGCTGCTGGAATCTCTTTGGCAGGTCAAGCCGTGGTAGGGGCTGTGGGAGCCGCTGTGGGTGCCGCTGCAAGCATGGCTAGCAACTGTACTTTGTAACTAGTTCAATCTATTGTATCAGTAATTAGTTCTATATATCTATCTATCTATATGATCATTATCCCACTGCCATTATCTCACTGATCAGCATCATTTAGGATGTTGTGCTGTATCAGTATCTTTAGGTTTCTGCTGTAAACTGCTGTTTATGGCAGTAACTATTAGCCCTCTCTGTAGTTATCATAAACTAATTTGTGTAATTCACTGTTATATCTCAGAGTTACTCAAACTGTCTTTAGGGGAGTTTTGCTGAATAATGAAAAGGGGTTTCTCACGTTTCCACACTAGGGGAACACTCTGGAACAATATAAGGCACTATTTTGAAGTTGCTTGTTCTCCGGGACCTTTAGTTTGTATTTTACTTTGATGGTGTTATTGGAAGAGCCATGTTTTTCGAGTTCTTGCAGGAACTTATATCCACGTTAGAAGTTTCTCAGTCTAAGAGGTTCTCCAAATGGTTTTGTAAGCACCTTGTATGTGTTTGCAAATGTATTTACTTTTTTTAGGCCTAATAAACAATTGAAATAATTTATGTATTTTGTCTTTTGTTTTATCGCTGACTCAAAGACAAGATTACAAGGTTTTTCTACAATATGCCACCTCACAATTACAAATCAAGAAATCATGTTAACTGGGGTTCAAACTAGGGCTGCACGATTATGACCAAAATCATAATTGTCGATTATTCCCTTGAAATTGTAATTGCGATTATTAATTACGATTATCACAATTTACATTGAATGATGTCTATTGTTTAATGCAACTGCATGCCATATTTTTATATGAAAATAAACAAGTTGAAAACACTCTAACTGAAAAACCTTTGGTGCTTTTCTATAGTATTAAGCCTCAGATGTCAACTATACATCAGATTGGTTTCTTCTTTAAATGATAAAAAAGTAAAAATATGAATTGTATTATAACATTATACTAAAACTAAAATAATGAGAAAAACCCTTTAGATAACACATCTTAAGTATGCAGAATAACATAAGTGGACTTTGAACGATTAATTGCCGCTTTGAACGATTACGTAATTGTGGCATCCATAATTGTAATTGCGATTAGAAATTTGATTAATTGTGCAGCCCTAGCTCAAACCTTTCAATATTTTTAAACCTGATTTAATTGGTTTACACCATTATTGACAGAAATAGTGTGTTTTCAAGTGTCTGCAATGGTTTTAAAATATTTTTATATAAGCATGGCTTTATTCACATTACATGCATATGCATCTATATTTCTGTGTCAACATGTAGCAATTTTAAATATATTATCTGCCATTTTCTGACCTACTGTCACGAATCCTGTCCATGGACTTACGTTCATTCACCACCAGAGGTCACCCTTTCCATTACATTGACTCTCGCACAACACAAACTGTTGCATAGCACCCCGGACTACATATCCCATCATTCATTGCACTGATTACACACTGCACTGATTGCACACAGCTGTTTCATATCACTCCCTCACTATATAACACCCACTCAAACAACCATTCTCTGCTGAGTATTGTTTAGCCTGTACCCCGATCCGAGTCTCTGTGTTTCCTTGTTTTGCCTTGCCTGTTCTCTCGGTTTCTGATCTTTGCCTGTTTTCCTGGATTTTTCCCTCTCGTCTCGCCCCTGTGATTCTGTCTGCCGATCAGTGACCTACGCTAGCCCTAGGACTATTGTTGTGTTTTGCTCGCCATATACCTGTTTGCCATTGATCGACCCTGCCTGTGTTTGACCACTTCTCTTGTTAAATAAAGCTTGCACATGGATCCGCACGCCTTTCGTCTCGTCAGCCCCGTGACAGAATACTCAGCCCCACAAGGATCCAGCAGCTTTTCTAAAGGACTCTGGCCAGGTATGGACCCAGTCACCCAGCTACTACATCTTCGGCAAGGAGGCCTTTCTATTGAGGAGTGTGTTCACCGGTTCTGTGTGCTATCATATCAAGTTCCATTGTATGATGAAGTTTTGTTTAAAGACCTGTTCCGTTTTGGACTGGATGAACCCATGGAATCTTGGTTACCTGGAGGAGAATGTAACTGTAGTTTAAGGGACCTTATGGATTATGCTTTGTTGTCTGTTGGCTCTTTGTTTACTGTGGGTGTCTCAGAGGAAGAACGCGACACAATGTCTGTGACTGAAATGGCGGCTGTACCAGAGCACGCTCACAAAATGGCGGCGACAGCGGAGC